GGAGGCGAACGGAGACAGAGAGAGGTTAGACTTAGGACAGAAGGGTAAAGGGGGTGTATGAGGATAGAGAGCAGAAGGGTGGGAAGATAGAGACGAAGAGAAAGGGGAGAGCATCCTCGGCTAGCAGCCGGCAGCCAGTCAGCCAGCCCCGGCCAACATCGACCCGGCGAGCTGCTCTCTGCCCATGCGCAACAATCTTACCCAGGACTAGTGATGGGCCCGATCCAATTCTCGACTTACAACTTTGCGTTACTTTTGCAAAACAATAACTGTCCGCATTATCGTAGGATTAAAGACGGTCCGGCGAATGGGCCGGTTGTATAATCGGCGGGATTGGTAATTCGATTAGCGGAGTCGCAATTAAGGTATAAAATATCAGCGACTGGTTAACGTATCGTTAACGAGGGAAAAAGTGGGAAGTAATCTCGAAAATTTGTTGCCTCGAATTTTTCAACCGCGATAATATCCGTACGGTGAAATTTCCAGCAAACTTTTTCTACGTGCACGTCGCTGCTTTTCCCCGCGTTTTCGAAGCTTAACCAATTAAATTTCGGTAATTAAGACGAACGTTATTTTCGTCGATTATGATCCTGTTACGAGGAACGGCGTCGAAGGCAACGTTGAAACATCTCCATCGTTCCCGGCTGGAAAATGTCATTGTTGGCAAATATATTTTGCCTCGTCGGTGTGTACCGTGTTCGTGTCAGCTGTAAAATATTTGGAGACGATATTACCGGTTTCCGATCGACGATTAACGTGGACCGGCTGAAAAGAGCGAAACGGGAATGCCATGGAGTGTTTTCCGAGAAGTCCTTCAACCTGACTGGAAAACATTTGCCGCTCCGGCACAATAAATATTGTCGATGCAAACGATTTATACGAGAGCTTTTGCTCATGTTTTCGCCCAGGTATTCCGCACGCGTTTCCCCGTTCCAGGGACCGTGTAATCCGTGACAATATTTTTTCGATAAACAGACGGTGCATTATTTTTTCCTTTCGCCCGAGATCGATTCTTTTTCCAATTTTGTTGCTCCAACGGAACGAAACGCGTGCTGCACCGCGGTGGAAATATTTTTTCGGCCGCGTTAACGGGCGACACCGAGGACAGGCTCGTTAAGAATTCCATTCTGGAAATGGAACGCGGTGCTCGTGTTTAGAATCCGCTCGAAACGGTTATTAATTGACGTTCTCGTGGGCCAGGATCGTCCACTTGGTGCCACAAGCAGTCGCACTTCGTCATCCCACCCCGAAAACTATAAGGCGTTTAATTAACTCCGGTGTTCGTGGAAAGAGACGGAGAATTCAAATGCAAATGCCGTGACACGCCCACAGGACGGCCCTTTCTCCTTCCGGTTAAAACACAAGCGTCGCCGAAAACCCGTGGTTGGAGCGATACCCTAACTGATAGAATTTAAATGCACCGCGGGGATATAATTTGCCGTTTAGGGGACCGAAGTCGGATATCACGGAATCGATTAATCCGCGCTTCTCGAATTAAATATACCCGTGATTGCGATTAAAAGATAAAGAAAAATAAAGAAAAACGTCTCACGTCGCTTCCTCTATTTCCAATTTCAATGTACCATAGATCGTCCTTTAAAGTTCCAAACTCTTATCCTTCTCATTAGCATTCAACAATTTTCACGGTGATAGGAGATTCATTTTCGTCAACTTCTTCCCAATAAATACGCAAATTCTATGTTTCGCAACTGAAGTAACGAATTTTTCAAAGTTACGTCTTACAACTGCTGATTGTAGGAAAAGAAAACGCGTTTCACGTATTTCATTAATCGTGACTCATTCGTGAATCAATTACATCACATCGGACAGTAATATCGTTAATAGTAAGCCCGGCGAAGAAATTCTAATTACGCGAACGTTTACCATCGCTAGCTACGATCCTGCCCGCGGTAATCGCGCGAGAGATACGTCGGGAGATTAAATTCGTGTAACACGAATCGCGTACATAATGTGGAAGGCACGTACGAGATTCACGGATAAAGCTTTCCCGTTTCTTTTTCTATTTTCGAGCGATTTTCCCTCGCACGCGACGCGCGTCGCGCGATCACGCATGCCGCAGTAGTTAGTATCGGTCATTGGTCAGACACAAATGTAGATACCCCGTTGTTCGCGCACGAAATCCGCATTCGTCACCTTTAACCCACGTTTTCGATTTCTGTGGCGGTTGGTCCACTGTTTTATAGAATTAGGTCTACTTTTAATACACTCGAGCCACCAGGGTCCATCTGATCTTCTTTCACCGGTATTTCGCGTCGCTTGCGCAGACCGGTGGTCAAAGAAGCTCGCTACTAGGGGTTGTCGAAGGAACACGAAGATAAGGAATATCGAAAGCGGAGAGAGGGTAAGAAAGGAGGAGATCGAGATGAAAGACCGATCAACGGCTTGAACGTTTTGGATTCCCCGAGGAAGCCCCGCGGATAAGAAGCCGAGAGCGAGAGGGTTCCCCAATCGCGCGCGAAAGTGGCGAGACCGTTTTGGACTTTGGTCGTCGAGGGGAGACGGAAGCTGGAAAAAAATTACTAAATCCTATCTGAATCAGTGGTCCATTGAGCGGTGGTTTGATATCGGGCAAGGATATCTGCGGGAGTTCCTTTGAAAAAGCACCCAGGCGTCGCGGCGATGGCGGCGCGTGGGGTAAGGCAGGAGAGGGAAAGCGGAACAAGAAGAAGGCTTATTCTGACAATACATCCTTCGACGTAACGCGAGGGTGTAGCGACTGACAGACAGCTCCTGTCTACCGGATACCCAAGCAAAACCTACGTCTACCCCAGGCCTGTGTATCGGTCACCCTACTCGAAAGATCGGTACACCCCTCCAGCTGCCTCGAATCTTTAGCGAATCACGAATAGATGGAAGAACATGGTATCACAGGGAAACAAGGGCTCTTCTCGGGATCACCGAGATTTTTCGACCTATCGAGACGGGCATGGTGTACAGAGAGAAGATTGGTTTCACGATTTCCAAGAGTGGTCGCGTTTTCTCGTATTTGTCCGTTTTATCTCGACAGGTTCTACGTAAAACTGAATTCTATTTTCATATCTTTCTGCTCGACGAGGTATCGAAAGGTATAGTTTGCGTGTAAAAATTACGGAGACTGGAACAAATTTGAACGTGAAAGGGTCGAATGAGATAAGGAAAAATGTGTATTAATCGTTAGTTAAAATATTGATCCACTTTTCAACAGAGCAACAGCGTTTCGCGAAACGCTAGAAGAGCCCTTTGCTACATTGCTATCGCAAAATCGCGATCGTACATTCATCGTGCTCCCCTTACGCTGGTCTGGCTTCTACTCACGTCTCTGATCGGTGCACTCAACGCGAGAGAGAGAGGGATCGATTTATACGAAAGGCTCGACGATCACTTACCGGGCGGTTCGTAACGGGACACCCTGTAGAATGGAGCATAGGCGGCGGACAGCGCGTTTTGCGGTGACAGAGCGTGTCTGATGGAGGGTTGTCACGGTATGGGAGCACCCCTCAGACTTCGATATTAAAGCCCTCCTAATATAAGAGCAAAAGCTCCGCTCTCTGCCGTCGATATGCCCGTTTCAAACCTTTTTCCCTTTCCCTCGAAAATTTCCAGCAAACGATACTGACTTTCGAGCGACCGACCGGACGGCACTGGATTTGTGGGTAAGCGAGTGGGCGTGCAAGAGGGTGGATCGTGAAAGGGATGGACAGATTTATTAAGCTTCGCGATACTCCCTTCTAACAGCGCAAAAAGCGTGTTGCAATATGCACAGACGGGAATCGGTATATTTAAACACACTTAAATTTCTCCTTTGCCATAATCATCGCGTTAATTGCAATCGAGTACACGATTCATCCTCGCCATTTTCTATCTCTCCGCGAACCCGGTTATTTATGCTCGATGGAAAATCGATGTTCATCCGATTCGTAACACCGACTAACTGCTCAGCCAGCGATCCTAAACCGGCCGGAAAAAATAGAGACGAGGAACAGGGGATGGAAGAGAAACGACTTAAACGCACGCTTAGGTGCGTGCACACCACGGCGGGGTGCGAGTGTGTTTGCACGTGCATGTGCGAAAACGCGTGCACGCCCCTGATCTCGGCTTCCGTATCCATCCCACACGCACCATTGACCACGAATGCACGTCCGATAGGGTGGCCGTGGACCTCCTCAAAAATCAAGTTATCTCCATTCTCCGCGCATCGTGGGGTTTCGAATAAAACGTCGCGCCACGGGGTGGCCCTGTGCCACGGCGACGTCTTCGCCGCCGAGTATGTCGCGCAAATTTATCGGAAATGCCGTGCACGAGATTACGGAGGATTGCCGTTTTATCGTCGGGTTCCACGAGACAACGGAATTTACACGGAGAGGAGCAACGCGGGGGACAAAGTTTCGAATCTTTTCGGCTACGCTTACGAGCATCCTCGTAAAAGCTGCACAGTTTCCGAGCACTGTCCAGCGAAACACTTTCGTTATCTCATCGTACTGATACGAAATGTTATTTGCGAAAGCTGCAGTATATAAGCTCTTTTAGGTGGACAGAATTAGTGACGCACACACGGTAAACAGAGAAAGAAGCGTTGGAGATCACTTACCGTAAGTCGACGACACCAAACGCTCAGCCATCTGATGTCCCGTAACCGTTTCCCCTTGGGCAGCTTCAGAAAAATGTCCGTATAGTTGTACAATCTAAGCTCCTCCGGTTCCCTGTACGAACAGAGCGAAACAAGGAGAAAAGACTCGGTGGGAGAGACTCGTAACTATTATAATAGGACAGGTATGTCTCGTATAACACGTTTTCGACCTACCCTTGCTATTCCATTCACTCGTGAGAAATCATCTACGCGCTATCTACTAGACTGTCGGTACGATTTATCAAGTAACCGATTGGACGGGGTTGTGTCTAAAAATTGATTGTTATTCGTACCAATTCTTTATTCCGCATTTCGCGCATTTCAGGAAGCCAAGTACCGTGTTATACGAGATTACCTGTACCGCGTTTCCCGCCGAACAGTTTCTCAGCCACGAGATCGCACATCGATTGGTCGGGCGCCGCGTCGACGATTTTGGCAAACAACCGTATCGACCGTGTTCGAGCGTGGAGAAGTCGGGGGACCCCGTCGAACAGGAACAAATACTTCTAATACCATCGTCCTCTAATAATCCCCGTTCAATTGGATCCGTCGGAACGGGACGACATTATTATTGTACGCGACGATCTCTCCGTGCTCGCGACTGAGAAGGCCCACGAAGCCCGGAGAGGGCGGCAAGAAGGACGGGGGTCGGTCTGAGACGGTGTTTACGACTTTTTCCACCGAATTTCGACGAACAGAGAAGACAGAGAGACAAGCTGCAGCGAGTCGAAACGTAATAAAGTGCTCGCGCGGACGAAATCCGAACGAGATCGCCGTATAATTCCCGTTTTATTAACTGCACCCCCGTGATCCGTTCGTCCGGCCTTCCGTCTGTTTTCATCCCCCGTCCTGCCCCCCTCCCGCCTCGTCTTACCCTTCGACGCACACAACAAGCTCTTTGAGTTTCATTTCATCCCCTGGTTACGGTATGCCGCTTACGTCCAATAGTCACCCCCGACCCCTTTCCTTTCTTTCTCCTACCCCTCGGCGTTCCTATCACGCGTCAACCCTGACCGCATACGCAACACCCTTCCACGTTACTTTCTTTTTCTCTTCCCTTTTTTCCTCTCGCGTTCTTGCCTGCTCGTGCGAGAACGAGTACCCGGTTTGCCTCTCGAATACGGGGAAAAAGGGGATTTGGAGAGAATCGAAATTTCAGAGAAGCTAGACGCTAGGGTGACGACGAGGGAAATATCGGTCGGACGTAAAAGGAATATCCGCGGTGGAAGGCCTCGCTCCTTACCTCTTGTCTTCAGTTTCCGGATACGGGACGATGTAACCCTGCGGCGCGGGCATGAGTGTGTTCCCCACCGAGAAGAACACGTCCAGTCCAGTGCCATCGTAGCAGAATCCCTTTATAAATATCGTCGTCTCGTCCACGGCGTACACGTCTCCTTTCACTCCATGCGCGTAATTCTTCAGGCTCCCGATTAATTTCCCGTAGTGCGAATGACCTGCGTGCAACAGACCATTTCGTCGATCGGTTATCAGCGTTCCTTCATTCTTGCTTCTACAGAGACGCGAGCCGACGACCACTCGTGTCCGATGCGAGTTCTAGTCCGAGTTCGACTCGAGTTTCGAGATGAAATCGGGGCGAATTGGAGACAAAATCGGGGTGAAATCGGGGCGAAATCGAGCCTAAACGAGCGAGACCACGAAAAGACGCGGCAGCGGTCGGGACTTGATTCGAGGCGTGCTACGGCCGCTGCTGCAAAAGGGGAAGTACGGTTTCACCCTCGTGATATAGGTTGGACGCATCGCCGCCCCGATACAAAAGCATCGGCGGACCAGTCGGCCGTGCCGCGATTTGCATGAATTTCATTTCATTTGCTCGACAGGCCCCATAAAGTCGGGCGAGCGAATAGATCGGAA